ACAATATTATTGGGGTTATAAGCCATGCATTAGTTTACTACATTATAAGCTAAAAAATACGTACAGTTGTCATACAAATTAAATACAATAAAATTACTAATGAGTTAAAACAAGACATAATAATCAAATACAGGTAGAGCAGACTGGAAAGTAGAGAGGAGAGAATTGTGATATACGGATGTGAGCGAAGTACTACAGTTATAATTTTCGATAATCATTGGTATTGAATTTAATTATTAGTGAATGGGCGTCAACATAATAGTCCTCAATCCCAAGTATAGTCAAAAGCAACTTATGAATTTTCCTTTTAAATGCTCTTTTCGCGAGCTTACGCAAGTCAGGGTTTAGACAGTTCCATAACCTCGTACCAAATTTCACATGCAATCTAGATTTCTGTACATAAAAATTCTCTGTGGAAGAAAAACGCGTGATATATGTATGGACGTCAGATGAATGAATAAAAAGTTCGCGAATATTCCTAGGTGTAGAGCTAGTAGAAACGTCATGCATTATGGCAGAAATGGTTTCAAAATAGAGCATATTGATGGGTAGGATATTCGAAGTTATAAAAATCTACTATGTTATTGTGCATTTTCCACATATTACAGCAACTGTGGAGGTGGCTTCATGATAAAAACTACGGCATCAGCCAGGCTGATCGCCCATACATCCTCAGCCTCTTTAACCAGGCACTGTATTCAGAGTCCGAGGAACTTTTCGAGGATTTCTATTCTAAGCTGCTAAATGATGGGAGGTGTAATCGCTATGTAAGTCTCGTACATTATTTGGAAACTCTTTACGATGATAAAGAAGCATTTGCTCTTTGTTTCCGTACTGTGCTGGTTGTAAGAGGAAATCACACAATTTCGCAGAAGCACAATTCCTTGTTCTCAAGGACACAATCTTGAGGAGAGTAAAAGAGTACAATGTTGTTGGCCTGATCGATAAAGTCACCATTGACTTGGATGATCATTATAAAGATATGCTTTTGTCCTTAGCAGATGGCGGTTTTGATGGGCAGTACAGACAGCGCTTTATGGGCAGAGGCAAAGATGGCGCGACTGGTTTCAAAGTTCCAAATCAAGAAGAGCGTGACTACTAACTCAATACTGTTGAGCAGTTTAGTAACAATGTTTTCACAGTTAAAAGTTTATCAGAAAGAGATACAAGGTGAGCCCTTATAAAGAATGCATAATTATATGAAATTAAAACTTTTGTTCCACCAATAAGATCATATTACAAGTGCCACAAAATATATCATTTTGCAAATTGCAAAGGTTGGTGGGTGTACATTTTGAAGATATTGATTTGAGTGACAAAAGACAATTCGTGTAATCTTACAGCCTTATTTCATTGTTTTGGGATAATTTGAAGCAACAGTAACACAGGGCTGTGCTCTACTTCATGTCCAGGCCCCGGGGGAACTTGCATGTGAGAGGGGTGGGAATGCTCTTCGTCTCGCTTAGGCTTGTACGAGAAGAATTAAAAAAAAACTATTATTTATTATATAGAGGGATTAAAATCCCCTCACGAGTAGGCAACCACAAAACAGGTCTGTAGGGATGTACATGAAGTTGTTTTTTTCCTGCCTACCACACATTATTTATTATATATATTTTTAATTTGTTTTATTTACTCAATTCAAATCAACATTTTCTATAACATCACCTATAGAAGACTATGTCTGTGTTTTAATATGATCTCTTTTAGGGTCAAAAAAAAGCTTGGGCCATGCCCAGATTGGTCTCCTTTAGGGGTATGATTAAAAAATTTCCGACGAGCATCTGCGCCCCTTTCTTATGCGAGTCACCTCCCCCCCGGGCCTCACGGGTAAATGTGAAGTGAATAAGGCCCATATTAGAGCATCTGGTGAACAGCAATTTGTATTGCAGAAAATTAATATTTGATGCCCTTATAAGAGGCAAGGCTAAATATCCCAAGTATAAGCAGACAATGAGGGCACACAAAAAAATTGCTGTCCACTTCATATATATTTTTTTCAGATGTACTGTAGACATGACAGTTGGAACTTGCAGTTGCGAGAATGGAAAAGATGGAAGCCCTTGCAGGCACCAGTATGTGTTATGGTCTGCAAATCTTGCCAGCTGTATAAATTTTGTTCCAGTCTCCCAGCCAGCAATGCGTAAAAAATCAGCTTGGATTGCAATAGAAAGGTCACTACCCCTTTCTTTTTACAATAATTTACTCACTCCAGATGACCTTAACAAACCAGCATCTGGTGAAACAGATATGCCTGAATTATATTCTGAAAATGAACAAACCATGCAACCCAGCAACTCTCCCTCAAGTGTCGAGGAGGAATTGATGAGTGAAGATCAGCAGGTTGAAACAGAGGATGTATGCATTGATTTAGCAGCAGATGCACTGAGCAAATCATGTGAACAAATAAGGCAAAAGCTAAGAAGCACAAAAGATCCAAATCTAGCCAAAGGAATTTTGAAATTTTCAAAGAGAGTTGCAGCTCTCTCTGCGTCCTCAACAATGCAATCAAATCTTTTATCAGCAGTCTTTAACTTTTGATCTGATGAGATACTAAAAAAAGGAAAAGGCGAAAAGATCAAAGTACAACCTAACAGAAAAAGGAAGTCTGGTAATGGTAGTTGTCAGGCTGTTGCTAAAGGACGTCCTACACAAATGCATTCATTGAAGTCCCAAAAAAGAAATCAAAGCGCAGTCATGGTTTGGCAGAAGCTGTGAAACCAAACACACAAAGTAGCAAGAAGTCTGGATCCCATTTACTGAAATAGAAAACTAAGCATGTCCAGAAAAAAAATAACAGGCAAATCTAAATTGTGAATATTGTTAGTCTGATATGTACTTTGTATGAATTCACTTGACTTGATATGCAGTGTAATCACTTAATATCATTCTTTAGCTGTAAGGTATAGATTATTTGAGATTATTTTGTGAAAAAATTGCACGAAAGGAAGCATTGAAATAAACAGAGGGCTATGTTGGTTTAACAATTTCTTTCTAATAGCAATGCAGTTGGTGCTCACAGCAAACACCCACAAAAAGTACAGAGAGGATGCTATATCACAAAATTACTCAACTGATAGTAATTTTAGGACTGCAACTTTAGTCAAATCCTTTATGTGTTTGTTTAAAGTATCCTAGTTTGTTCATCACCTCTCTTGTACACTTTTTACAATAACCAGTGGCTATTAATCCACTATTCATTATTTCAACCCATAGACTATATATGTTAAGTTAAAACTGAGACTCTTTGAGGAGGGCAATGGTCAATGTGTCTTAAGGAAATGACTTCGAAACTCAAGAAAAGGCATTTTTCAGAGAGGAATCCCCCATAAAATGGCCAACCTTTCCTATGGATCTATACTCAGTGAAGATGATATATAAACCTATTATTGTTATTATTACTATTGTTATTATTATTATTATTATTATCATTATTTAGTGATCAGAAAAAAAAACAGAACAGTGATAAAAGAAACATCTTTTCCTTTATTAATAAAAAATAGTAAGGCAATAGTACTAAAAGTATATTAATATGTATTTGCAAGGAACAGGTATTTTGTGACAAGTCTTTAACCTTGCTTTTGATAACAAGTATAAATAAAAAATAACTTGAATCTAGGCTTCCTTCACTCTATTTTTTTATACAATTAAACTGAATGGGCAACAGTCAAACCTCTCATATGCAGACACCCTTGGCATCAGATAAGTTTCTGCTAATGGGTGGGTCAAAATTTAGTGTTTAGTTTAGCCGAGAACATGGCCAACTGTCCGCTTACGAGAGGTTTGACTGCATAGAGTGATCATAAAAATTTTATAAAATTATGAAAATGTGAACACAGCTTTGACAGTTTGCCACTATTAAAACCACTCTTACTCCTAAACCTTCATTTGTCAGTACATTTGTGCCTCTTTAAGTTTCTCTTTTCTGCAAATACTTTATGGAAACTTCACATTTAAAACATTGGAGATGAAACTTGTTCTTGTGCTTTTCAAGCTTTTTCTTGTGGTCTCCTGTAGGGTTAGGGGCAGGAGACGTTAATTTCCCATGCACGAGATTACTGTGTGATAGATGTCCTGCAGATGGAATGAGACGCAAGGCTATGGAGAGGATTGGAAAAAGCAAAAAGAGTGGAGAGGACGATGAAAATCCAGAACAAGAAACAAGACCGAAAAAGCGGAGATCAAATGGAAGTGATACCTTAATGTACTTACGGGAAAAAAATGAGTCTATGGAGAAGTTCAGAAAGGAAGAAATGGAAATGAAGAGGAGGGAGGTTGAATTACAAGAAAAAAAGCATGATGATTTTATGAAGATGATGCTAGCACAACAGCAACTACAAGCACAGAAGATGCAAGAATTTCAGACAATGATGTTGGCACTGATGTCAAGAATGGTGCAAAAATGAACAATAAGTCCTGTGTTTATCCAATTTTATTTCAAAAGTGTATTATCATGGTCTTATTGAAAACCAAAATTATCCCTTAGTTATTTATTACATCTCCTGTTCCAGTTTGCACTGATAAAATATTGTTTATTGTTTTAGGCTATATTTTTCCAGGCTATGATTTTTACTTTGTGTCTTAAAATGTTTGTTTAAGTTTCAGGACATTGAAATGTTTAAAGTTTTAAATACCAATCAAATAAATTTATAGCAGAATGACTATGGTTAGATTTTATTCAACTATATCAATTAAGAGTTGATTTTTTTGATGCCGAACTATTTTTTCTTGGTTGATGGAAAGCCATTCTAGTAAAATAGAAACAGAGAAATTAGTCTCTACTACAGGTTAGTCCTACTCGAAACCATTGATTTTCTATTTCAAATAGACTGGTTTGAAAAATCCATTAAATTCAAAGAAAAACTGAGATGGTACAAAACTTATTAATGATCTCATTATAAAGTCTCATGAGAAGTATTCCTGTAGTGTTGGTGGCTCAAGCCCAAAGAATTTTGAGGTTTCATTAAAGTACATACATGTCAAGGCATTGCGTAGAATTGCTGCTACAATGTAAAATTTACCTACAGCACTCAACTGCAATTTCAGGTTCTTTTTAAAGTCCAAAAACTTGAAGTAATTAACAATGTCTGCAAAAAGCCATTCAACAGACTCTCGAACAGAACTCATTGATTCATTGAAGAAATGCATTTGAGGGGTAAGCACTGCATTCCTGAATGGAGCTTGCAAGTGGATCCTCAATGGGTAAGCTGGGTCACCGTACAGGCACATAGGGTCACCAGTAGAAGAAAAGGCATACTGGCTTAGCTGCTGTAGGAGCCCAGAATCTGCAAGCATACCAGAATCATGTTTTCTTCCTTCTGAAAAGTAGAAATAAAAATACAGTATTACTAAAACAATGTGAACCATTAACTAACTTAAAGTGAACTATTATTAAACCAATAAAACTAGAAGCACAAAAAAATATAAAATCAAAGAAAATGTATGAATGAAAGATTTTGAATACTATCACTTACCAACTGGGCCAAATAATTGAGCAATGATTCCATTGGGCAAAGTAACAGATTGGAATTTTATGGCATGCACTCTTTTATGACCATTATAAACTATTCTTTGGTGTTCTCCTGGTCTACAGATAGGTCTCACAGTTCCATCTATAAAACCAAAACAATTATTTAGTGCACCACCTTTATCATGAACTGCAGCAGCATACGCCTCAAGCTTTAAAGGCATAAGTAGATCTTGATTCCATGCTGTGATTCTGTGGTGATGGTTGTCATAGATGTAATCGATCACTTCGTTTGTTAACATACTTATGACAGGAACAGGCCTTGCAAATAGAGGTATCATGTCACTGTATCGACATGGGTAGGCAAGGCGCTTGAGAACCATACAGAGTGCTTCCATTCCATCACAAATCGATCTTTGATGGCAAACTATGCGGTCAGGGATGTTTAATGCTTCTTTAAGCATGAAAAGATCGTTCTTTTCAACTCTGAAGTCTGCTTTGCACGTTGCAGGATCGATGGAGTTCAAATCAAACTTCTCGTAATCTTCGTAGCCAAAAGATGGATTTTTCGAGGTACTTTCTTCGTATAACAGCACAAATTCTTTTTCATCAATAACTCCGCTATCGAACGCTAAAAGTAGCGCTTCTCTCGTTTCTTGAAAAGAGCACATCTAAAGAGGTTTTTTGAAGCTCGCGTCGTGTTTGCTGTGAAAGCTTAAGGACAAAAAGGTAATGCACACGACCGCGTCCTAGTTCCAGGACTCTCTCGGTCATCACGTTCGCGTTGTGGGTCTCGCGTCTTGCTGCTTAAGGTCCCTAAAGGCCGTTTTCGGCGCGGGAACAAAATTTCTACAATTGGTACACCCTCCAGATTTTTAGAAAATTGTGTGTTCTTTTCAAAATGTTGGTTGAAACTCTTATCTTTTCAACTATGACCTTATTTTTTTTATTTAAGTGTTTGTTTGTGTCCTGCAAAATTGGAGTCATTTTGAATGAGAGCGCGTTTGAGCCTGCGTTTATTGCCGCATGCCATGGCACATGCGCAGTTGTTTTTCAGCCCTGCTGAGACTAGCTCCCACATTCGCTCCCACCTCAATATAATGAGCGCGAATCCCAAGCACTGACCAAACGGTACGCCATACAGGCAGAAGGTTGCTAAGCACCGAGTGCGACTCTTAGTCCTCCTAAGTGCAACCATAACTTAATAGTACACGCTGAGCCGTTTAACATTTACTTTCCAACATAATCAAAAGAGAAAGGTTTTGCAATCCACATCGGGACTCAGCGAAAAGATTTTTGTAGATACGAAATTACTTGAAGTTGCAGAATATCCCGTCATTATTGTTTACTTATTTAATGACATGCAAAAAAATGGGCAGGGTGTTTTTGAGCAATCAGAGCGCGTGCTTTACTTTTGTTATGTTGTGATTTTTTTTTAACAGTCAAGCGATGTGAACTGCCGGAATCCAACAAATCACAGATCTGTCAATTTTGTCATTTGACAAAATTTTGTTTCCCTCGACGGTGCCTTCAGAGCTATGGAGTACAACTTATGACAGATATCTTTGCAAAATTCGCCCAGTGCATCAAAAAATTAAACTCACAAATGATTTGACTGCCCTTTTACGCCCAGTCTCAAACTTAATCAAAGTAAAAAAAACTGCAAACATTTGTTGGAGGGAAGCTTACCTTCTGAACTGAGATAAAAAACCTCGATACTATGGCTGGCATTGGCCTCAGGGACTGTAAAGAAAACAACACTCAGTTGATTTCAGCAAGCTAGCAAGAGACCAACTTAAGGACACTTGCACTCTAAGTACTTATGTCGGATATCTTTGCATAATTCGCCCAGTACGTCAAAATATTAAACTGACTGCCTTTTTACGCTGAGTCTCTAACGTAATCATTGTCTGCAATTTCAAGAACTTACAGCAGCTTACAGAAATTTGTTGGAGGGAAGCTTACCTTTGAAACTGACATCAAAAACCTCGATAGTAACAAGGCTGGTATAGGCCTTGGAAACTGTGAAGAAAACGACCATCAGTTGGTTTTTAGCACCAACACGCAGACACGAATATTGGTTTCAAAAGATGAAACCCACTTAAAGTTCCTGTGCACACAACAAGCATGATTTTGAAGCATTGTTTAAACCCACGGGTTTATATAAGAGGAATCCGCAGGAGCCAGCTGAACACAAGCGCCAGAAAGCATGAAGCGATTATCGTGCGCTAAATTCGACGACAGTCAAACCCGTATGAGCGCTAATTAAAGGCACGCTTAGAGTAAATAAGGAGCCTGGACCCAACGACAAGTTGAAATGGTAAATTGGCCACCGTAACGATTACAAAAGCTGACGTTTCGAGCGTTAGCCCTTCGTCGTGTTGTCCTCTTGCCGTTAGACCTATCAGCAGCCTTCGACACTGTCGAACATAAGATCCTAATACACAGACTGCGTTCCAGGTTTGGTATAAAATGTAAAGCACTTTCGTGGCTTCAGTCTTATCTTACGGATCGTTCCCAGTTTGTTCAGATTGATGGATTTACTTCCTCAATTCGTCCGCTCAGATTTGGCGTGCCCCAAGGGTCCGTGTTGGGTCCGTTACCGTATCTCTTTTACACGGCCCCACTAGGTGACCTAATAAGATGCCATAACATAGACTTCTATCTATATGCTGATGACACTT